GCATCCAAAATAAAAGTTTTTGTTTACATAATGTGTGTATACTGTGTATATTTATTATGTTTATATAAATACAAAGACATGCATGTATATATTAAGAAAAATATGTTTATATATTAAATATATTTATATATAATATAAAATATAACATGAATATATATATATATATATATATATAAAATAGTAATAGTAAGCAGCATAACGTACAGTCAGTCAACCATTATCACAAAATAAACACTTGATCCTGATTATAGATTATCACTTACATTTTTTTTTTTTTCCAAAAAAAAACTTGCCTCATAAATGAGAAATACCAGAGAGAGACAAAAGAGTGATTTATGAATTTCTTTAAGACTAGCTGCTGGGACTGACTGACCTCTTACACACACACACACACACACACACACACACACACACAGAGTCTCTGTTTTGCCTCTCCAAACTCGAACCCACAACCTTTGGGTTATGAGTCCGACTCTCTAACCATTAGTTCACAACTTCCCCTTATCAAGTTCCCCTTATCAAGTTCAACCATTTAAGAACATTATCTTTTTTTTTTCAGTCTGTGAGAATTATACATTTATCAAACCAGCATTTGTTACTATATACTGGATGACAGCTTTATTTAGGCTACATGTTCAACCCTGTACATGCGATTTTTTTCACACCTTAATGCAATAATTAAATAATCTGTTTTTAATTATGTTTTAAAAAATATTGAAAAATTGGCATATTAAGTTAACTCACATTTTAAAAATGCATATATATGCACATATTTGCACACACACACACACAAACACACACACACACTCACACACACACGCACACACACACACACACACGCACGCACAAACACACACACTCTCACACACACACACACACACACACACAGGTTTGTTTTTGTGAAAAGTGGGGACATCCCATAGGCGTAATGGTTTTTATACTGTACAGACCGTATATTCTATTGCCCTACACCAACCCTACCCCTAAACCTACCCCTCACAGGAAACTTTGTGCTATTTCAGATTTTCAATACACTCCATTCTGTGTGATTTATAAGCGTTTTGAAAAGTGGGGACATGGGGTAATGTCCTGAAAAGTCACCTTCTCCTTGTAATACCTGTCATACCTTTGTCATTATACAAATTTATGTCCTCATTTGTCACAAAAACGCGCACACACATCACACACACACATACACACACATATATATATATATATATATGTATTGAAATCAGGGTTTTGAACTGTATAACTATGATTAGCCATCTCACATTCTGATAACAGGATTGCAACAAAAGTAGATTTAAGCATTGTAGAAATGGAAAAAATCAATTTTTATTGCCATTTTTTGAACCCTGTTGGAGCAAGTTTTCTTGTCTCCTGGTTTCATAAAGCACATGTGTAATCAGACAGTGCAAACACACATGGACTCGCTGCGGCTGTGAGTTATGGACTCAGAACTGCAGGAGGCCACTTGACCTCGCTCTAGCGTGGAGCTGCATCAACATCCACAATCCTCACTTCAAACACACGTTCAGCAGCCAAACTCTCGTGAGAGGAGCGACCGACAGACCGCGAGTCTCACCGGCCGATCGTGGAATTCCTGACAAAGAGCAGGAGTCACGTGATCAGTGTGTGTGTGTGTGTATGAGAGTGTGTGTGTGTGTGTGTGTGTGTGTGTGTGTGTGCGAGCTGCTAATTAAAATAAATCAATAGCACTGCGGCACAGACTCATCCTCGCTGTCGCTCTCTCTGGATTGTGCCGAGTTCTTCTCGGACGGGTGATTCCTGATCACAACAGGTGGGAATCAGAACCGCGGCAATGCACCAGTTTTGTTCGTATAAACCGTAGGTTTTCTCCAATCCATTTGGTCCACAAATGCAAGACAATGTTCTGGGACGCAGTTCCCGAACAACATAACTCGCTGCTTAACAACCATAGTATGATGCATTGTTGGAGCAACTAACTAGCTAGTCATGCTATTTTTTGTTAGTTAACAAACTAAAAGTCATAGAATGAAACTTATATATGTATGGAATGCACTACATTATCTTGCTTATTTTGATCACATGCATGATCTATTTAGTTCCACATGTCATGCTAATAAGAAACTCTGCTTCTAAGCACAAGTCAGGAGCTGTAGTTTCAACGACACAACTATGCGTTGCTGTTTCAGAATATTTCTTGCAACTCTGGATTCGGGAAACATCAAATTGTTGAACTATGTTCTAAGCGACAGAACTTGTGGCCAAAGTTGCTTTCAGGAAACGCACTCCTGATTGGCTGTATAAGGGTGGGCTCTACATGCACCAGGGTGGTCCTCAAATACAAAGTTAAGCTTTTCTAAATTGCTTTTGCATTTTTTGATTCCTCAAAAAAGGCTAAATATAAATGCAGTAAAAATTCATGTGATTTCGAATGCATTTACCACTGCCACATGACCTCTGTTTCGTGCCGTGTCATGCTAATGTGAATTAATATGGCAGTCTGATTGCCAGCGTTCCTAGTAGTATTTTATGCTGTGACAACTGTTCTCTGATGAGCCGGTTGGGTCGATTATTGTGACGTCTTGATGCGAAAAAAAAGCTAAAGATTGAACAGTCAACCGAAGTCATTCACTCATCAGAGAACTGAGACTGTAGACATGCGAACAGTGACATTCTAATATGTGACCCTGGACCACAAAACCAGTCATAAGGGTCCATTTTTCATCTGAAAGCTGAATAAATAATCTTTCCATTGATGTATGGTTTGTTAGGATAGGATAAAGGATAACTGAGATACAACTATTTGAAAATCTGGAATCTGAGGGTGCAAAAAAATCTAAA